AATATTATTGAAATGCAATAAACAAAGAAAAATGCTCCTATTACTCCTGGTTGGATGCGCTGAGTAAAAGACAAATTTTTATTAGCTGTTAGCATTTTTATAATTTTTTCAGTTTTTAAAATAAATTTAAAACAAGACGACTCGCATTGCCGGATTGTATTCTCTTTGTCTCTCAACATCTAGTCACTTTTTCCAATCACCAAATAGGATATATTAAAAAAGAACCTACATATATCTCGATTATTATCAACTGTCGAAGACTTTTCAGAGGATGCAGTGAGTAAAATATTAAATTTTATTATCTGTTAGTCGTTTTATGACTTTTTCCTTTAAAAAAAAAACAAAACAACTTGGATTGAAGGAATAGTGTGTTAAAATGTTATTCTTGTAAAAACAATTAAGAAACACTAAAAACAAAATTGGATTCCTCTATTTCAAGAATTATCAACTTCCGAAATCAATACGTTTGGTCAAATTGCCACTTTCTCTATGTTCATTGAAAAAATTAAATTTGGCAACACAGAGGGAAGCCAAATGGTGCACTGACTGAAAAGTATAAACAAATGGAGGCAATTTAATGCTTGGTGTACACGGAGTATACCATATAGTATATTTTATTTATTTCATTGCGCGCATCTTTTTGCTTCCATTTACGGAAAAACTAGATAGCGTCGCTGGGCGATATTCTAAGGTTAAATCATAATCTCGGATGCATATTAGTTATCCAGCTCGCATGGTTTAAGTATGTGCAAAATGGAGAATGAAGTAAAACAGGAGATTGAAAAGGTTGAGGTAAGTTATTATTCTTTTATGTAATAAAATCAGAGTCAAGATGTTAAATTGTTAACTAAGAAAAATGCTGATATTATATTTTAGTAACTTTTGCAGGATGATTTTTCGCCACATTCTACATTCGACGATAGCGATGCCGACCCAGAATTTTTTCCAGATAGATCGTCGTCAGACTCAGAAATAGAGATCTGTAAATTTAAGAAGGTAATAATAAATAACTTGGACGATTACCCAAGAGCAAGAAACTTTCCGCTAAAAAACAAAACAATTCTTTGCTTTGATCGTTTAATTATTTTTTGTTTTTCTTGTGTTTAGCTTCTTTTCATATACACTTTCTTAATATATTTTCAAATAAGTGAGGGAGTCTTAAACCATACCTTGGAAGTTATAGGTTTCTTTTTGTGGTAATTTAACAAGGTATCTTGCAATATAAAAAAATATATTTAAAGCATATCATAACATTTTGGTTGCAAATCGTCGGTTTCAGTCAATTTTTTCAAAACTGACTCAGTGATTTAGAGGCTTTATCGTAGTATAAACAAGAATGTCTTCACTTTGCTTTGTCATGTTATTTTAACATTCTATAACCTGGTTTTCATTTACAGAAAATTACGGTTTTGCAGAATATTCGAGTGCAAAATTCAGAGGAATCTCAAACAGACTCTGTAAGTATTGTCAGCTAATGGTGGCGTATATTTTACGGATTAAGAACCGTTTCAGGACGAAACCACGGATACAAAAATAAACACAATTAAATCGTTGAGAAATACAAAAGAAAATAAAAAATATACTAGGAAAAAGGACTTGTGCTACTTTTGCGAAAGCGATGTTCAAAATTTTCCTCGACATATCGAAAGGAATCACCCGTATGAATTAGAAGTATTGCAAATTTTTTCCAAACCTAAAAAGAGTGAGGAAAGGAGAAAATTTTTAGCCTTATTAAAAAAGAAGGGCAATTTTATTAAAAATTCCGAAGCTTGTGTCAAACCGATGAAAGAAGCACGGGAGCCAGAGAACTCATTTTTGCCATGCACAAACTGCTTGGGATTTTACAGATCGAAATTTTTATATCGACACACAAAGAAATGCACAGGGGCTAGTTCATCAAAAAATGCTCAAGTTGCAAGTCAAAACTTTTTGATAAAAAATTTGACCCGAATTGACCAACAATTAAAAGATCAGGTTTTTCCTAGAATGAGACCTGATAAGATTTCTTTAGAGGCAAAGAATGACTTTTTAATATGTGCTTTTGGAGCTCGTTATCTTAAGACACATCGCGAAAAACATTTTATTAATGTTACAAGTAGAAAAATGCGAGAGTTGTCAAGAATTTTATTAGAGCTTAAAAAAATGGATCCAAACATAGCAAATCTATTTGAAGCATTGCACCCAAAGCACTACGATAAACTGGTGGAAGCTACAAAATCTGTGGCCAGATTTGATAGCATTAAGGAAGTGTTTGTAGCGCCCACATATGCTATGAATATTTCCACATCTCTGAGACAGTGTTGCGATATTGCAACTTATATGACTATAAAAAGTGAACCATCAGTTGAAACGGAAAATATTGAATCTCGATTAAAAACGATGGTAAATTTATTAACATCTAACTGGCGATTTGATATATCGAGTCGAGCTGGCAATGATCTAAACATCAATAAATTTAATAAAATAACAATTGTTCCCCTAGCGTCTGATCTAAAACTTCTAAAAGAATACTTAATGTCTACTGCAGAAGAAGCTGTCAATTTACTCTCTGCAAATGCAATGAATGTCAATGCCTTCTTAATTTTGATGGACACAGTGTATTGTAGAATTATTTTATTGAATAGAAGGAGATCAGGAGAATTACAGCGGTTATTAAAGGATACTTACGTTGCTTCAGAAAAATCATCAAACTCTTACGAAGAATGTAGTGAAGTTATCTCGAAAGCAGAAAAAATTTTATTACAACACTTTAAAAGAATAGTGATTAGAGGAAAGAGGGGCAGAGGAGTACCAGTCATATTTAGTCACGATGTGCAGGTACATATTGATCAACTACTAGAGGCGAGATCAAATTTCGTCAATGACAACAACCCCTACCTTTTTGCAAACCCAAACACGAATACTCCAATATGTGGCTACAAAGTTGTTGCAAAATATGCTAAAGGTTGTGGCGCTAAGAATCCTGAAGCTATAACATGCACAAGGCTACGAAAACATCTTGCAACGCTAACACAATTATTCAATCTAACCGAAAATGAAATTGAACAACTGTCAAATTTCATGGGCCATACATCCAACGTGCATAGAGGATCATATAGATTGCCAGACGATGTCTATCAGACAGCAAAGATATCCAAGCTTCTTCTTTTAATGGAAAAAGGAGAGGCAGGTATTCATAAGGGGAAAAGCTTGGACGAAATTACAATTGATTTAGAAGAAAATCTTTTAAATGAAGAAACTAGCGAAGATGAAGATCTAGAAACTTCGACGAAAACAAGTAGGAAAACGGAAAAAGAAACAAAAGATATGGATCAAATCGAAGAATTAGTCCAGGATGTAAAAAAAACAGAAGGAAAAAGCATTAGTTTAGAACCAGTTTTAGAAGTAAAGGACAAAAAGCGAAAAAGGATTTTGATTCCATGGACAGAAGAACAAAAAAATGTAGTTACATTCTATTTTTCAAAACAAATAAAAAATAAGAAGGCACCCAAAAGATGTCAATGCGAAGAATTGAAGGAACTATACCCAGCGTTGCTTCAAAATAAAGATTGGCATAAAGTTTTTGTACAAAATCAATATTCAAAAAAAAAAATAAATAAATAAAATAAATAATTGTGTGCTCGAAAAGCGTTTTATTTAGTACATGAACCACCAATGATTTTTTAAAGAAACGTCGGCATGCTGTCGAGGGTAGATTGACTCCTTCTAGATTTTTCCTCGGTTAGGTATGGTCGCTGACAACCAAAATCTGTGTAGAAGAAATCCAGCAGAAGTCAATGTACAACCAGCTTTCCCTAAAAAAGCAAAATAATGCATTGAGTAGAACAAGTACTATCTGGCGTAGGCCGTCGCTACCTCGAATTGCCGGTGAGATTTAGTTTCCATTCAATGAATCATGTTACTTCTTGAGAGCTCCATAAGACAACAACAAACAAACAATTGAATTAGGGCAAATGGTGGATTGGTAATGCCTCAGTGTGCTGACAGTGTGTGAGAATGGGACGAGTGGTGACATGACATGTTTTTGTCACAGCCGGCATTAGAACCACACCACCCGCAATTCATCTGCTTTTTATGACTATATGTATAGTCCTAATATATCAAAAACTGACATGTAGAATATTTTGACTTGTACCTTTTTTTTATATGAGTAATACGTTTGTTATCTTTCTCAAGTAATATGCAGTTCATCAGGAGGTTTATTTTGCACCCACCTATGTGGTTACGTGCGAAGTAAATATTATACACTTGGCAACATCTGTGGACGCAAAATAATTTTATAATGTGCCGTATATTCCCCCTCCAGAAGAATACGGATGCAATTTGTTTTAGCATATAAAAGAAAATTATACAAAAAGGACGCAAATTAGATATTTTGTACTGGATGTAAAAAGTTGTGCAACTTGAAAAAAAATGTATATTTAAATTTTTGTGTTTTCGGAAAATAAAGTACATTACGTTTAACCTATTTTTTTTCTCTTCAATATACATGCAGTACATATAGTGTAGCATGCTTAATTGCAAAGTTGCAGAATAGTCGAAAAGTGAAATGATGCAAAATAACCGCGGGATGTAAATATATATATATATATATATATATATATATATATATATATATATATATATATATATATATATATATATATATATATATATATATATATATATATATATATATATGTGTGTTGCATCATTGTAATCGGAATAATAATATACAGGGTGTTCCGTTTAAAAAAATATGTAGGCTTATATGTCAGAAAATTTGTTTTATATGTCGCTTAGAAAAAAAACTTGACTAGTAACCTTGTAATGTTATCAAAATAAATTGAACGCACGGAACAATACGGGCCCGTTTCTGTTAAACTCTGAAGAAGGCAACAGGATGATTGGCGAAACGTCAGCAAGTTAGATTTATCAACAACCGACGATGGAGAAATCCAGACATTTTTGTAAATGGTAGAAAGAAACGAATTTGTAGATAAAAGCGAAACGATACCTACCAAATAAGTTGACTTAAAGTTTCCAGCCCGTGCCTGGCCCCGAAATAAGTTTTGGCGGTTATATTCGCGACGATCTCAGCACCGTGAGCTTTGAGGACCAACTTATAACTTTCGTCGGTACTGAATTTCAATTTAACTATGTCGCCGTTCGCCACACTCACTTTCACTAAGAACTTACGTATATCAGTCTTTTCGTTGGCGTATTCACTATTTTGGACTAAACTATACACGCTATTGTTAAATATCGCGAAGGCGTCTTGGATGAGGTCCTGGGCAGGACCGGACGCGACGCTATCGTACTGCAGCTGGTTGTGATTGAAGAGCAAAGCTTTGCTACCCAAAGAGACGGGTCCCGTCGGTTGCGGCCATAATTGGGTGGAGCCGCAAAGCATGCTGCAGGTGGCCAAAGAAGTTACCGGGGTGTGTTGTTGTAGCTGGCGACGTTCACACCTCTGGTTGACGCAAAGCCACGTCCATTGAGGCGGAAGCGGATTTCTGGAAACCAAAATAAAACAACAAATTATTTGTTTATTCTAGACAATTTCAGGTGTGCTAAACTTTTAGAAAATTGGGCCGTCATGCAAGCTTTTCGTGATAAAATGCTTCCAAAATAAAAAAGTGCAAAAACATAAAACAAATTAAAATCGAAGAAATAAGAACTAAAATTTCAGATTTTTACGAAATTATATATTTTTCAATGACAATTGCTTCGACAACACCCTGTCGTTATCAAATGTAATATTTAAAAAATACCTGCTACTATAAATACCGAAAAATTGTGAAAAATGTGAGAATTTAAGTTCAATAAACGAGAGGTATTTAAATCTAATTGATTTTGTTAATCTCCATGGCTTCCAATAAATTTAATTTTCTACTTTTTGTGGCTTTATGCAAAATATCAAAATTTTTGTCAAAAATGTGTTTTTCTGTGTTTAAGTATGTAGCATAATTAGAATCTAGATTATTGTTTATAAACGCTCTTTTATGTTCGTTAATGCGTTTTTTGAAGGATCTACGTGATTGTAGAATAGAAATTTTAGGACAAGATCCGCATTTCAAAGTGCAGACACCTGATTTTTGAGATTTTGGACATTTCGTTTTATTGTTTTTTAAAAATTTTGCTATTGTGGTGTTAGTTCTGAAAGCTATTTGTAAACCACGTTTTGACAAATGTTTTGAAACGTTTTCACTAGGTTCTCCAATGTATGTTATTGGTTAAAATTGTTTGTGTTCTGTATTAGGTTTCGGATCAATTTTCTGTTGTCTGGATTTGTTTTTTATTTATAATTTTATCTATAATGGACGGATTGTACCCGTTGTTCAGTGCAATTTGTTTAGTGATATTAAGTTCTTTGTTGTAATTTTCTGTTGAGAGTGGCATATTAAGAAGTCTTTTGTGTATATAAGGGTGATTTGAGCTGTTATGTATGACTGTGTCCGTGTGTGAAGATTTATGATATATTGAAAACTCTAATTTGTTTTGCGCTTTCGCAATAGTTAAGTCTAAAAAATTAATAAAATCCTGTCCAATCTCGATAGTGAAATTTATACGATTATGTAATGAGTTAATGTAATTTAAAAAAGAATTCAATATTATTAAACAAATTGCTTTGAACAACGGCTACAATCCGTCCATTATAGATAAAATTAGAAATAAAAAACAAATCCAGACAACAGTAAACTCTATTTATCCCAAACCTAATACAGAACACGAACAATTTAAAACAATTACATATATAGGAGAACCTAGTGAAAGTTTCCAAAAATTTGTCAAAATGTGGTTTAAAAATAGCTTTTAGAACTAACAACCCAATAGGAAAATTTTTAAAAAACAATATGTCCAAAATCTTAGACATCAGGTGTCCTATAATTTATATTGGACAAAGAGGCAGATCCTTATGCTACAAACTTAAACACAGAAAAACATATTTTTGACGACAATTTTGATATTTTACATACAGCCACAAAAAGTAGAAAATTAAATTTTTTGGAAGCCATGGAGATTAACAAAATGAGACATTCAAATGTATTGCTTAACGATCAATTAAATTTAAATACCTCTCCTTTATTGAACTTAAATCCTCACAACAACATTAATTAAGGTTTTATTGTCATTTTTCGGTATATATAGTAGCAGATATTTTGTAAATGTAACATTTGATAAAGACACGGTGTTGTCGAAACAATTGTCATGTAAAAATATATAATTTCGTGAAAATCTGAACTTTTAATTTTATTGATTTTGATAGATGGATTTTCATCAAGTAAAAGCCACCTCAGTTCAATTTTTGAAATTTGCCCCCTTTTTGGAATTCTGAAGAAGCGGCAACGTCGCAGGCTCAAAAATATTTTAGATCGATAGAGCGTCACCGCTAATGGAATCGATTAAGGTAAAAAAGCCGAAAATATTATTTTTGCCATCATGGAATCGTCAACTCGATTTTGAGTTCCATTTCTGCTAACTACCAGGTGGTTACGTCACGAAAGCTTGGTTCAATATTTTGAGTTGGGGTTTAAACACTTTTCGTCTGGTAAGCAGCAATTTCGAGACAAAATCTTCGTACTTCAACGCTGAGAAAAAACGGATGACAGTGCAGTTAGAGGTAGAACCAGCTCTTAAAATGACACGTCTCGGCGTTATGGGAGCTTTTCCGTTGAATACTTCGACCAGAATTAAATCTAATACTTTGCCTAATATTTATTACTCCAAAACCGCAGACCCTTATAGAACACCCTGCCAAGCACCAGGTAACCATTACAGGAGCGGGATATAAGTAAGCAATTCTTGAAACATGTACATAAAAAAATTAATACAAAGTAACAATTCATTACGTTCTATGTAACTTGTTTTTATTGCTGCTCCTACTTCCCATTCTGAATTTCTTATAAAATTGTAAACATTCAAAACAATTTGTTTAGCATCCGAAGACGAATAAATCCGTTTTTTTTTATTAAGCTGAGGTAGTTCGTCTTTTAAACTGTCATTAGGTTCGACTACCATCTCCCCTTCGTCAATTTTTAACCACATTAAAGATATTTTGATGTTTATGTTTTGTATTCCACACATGTCACTATATGCAATGATGTGTTTTTCACCTTTTAGGGTTTTTAGGTGTCTTAAGAGGCATGAAGCCACTTCTTGGGAACCTCTAGAAGCTTTTGTTTCATCCCAAACGTACATGTATACATTATCGTTGTGGAAATTGTGTGTGCTTAAATTTTAAATATACATGTTACATTTATAATAAGGTACTGAAGTAGTTAACTATGGGAATGGTAATTTCTGAAAAGCAAAAAAAAAAAAGATGTTTTAACTAATTTCTAGCCGATTCTGCTAGCTTGAAATGAATATTATGTTCTTCCATAAGTTTTTTCTGTTCTTCATGGTTTTCTGATGCTTCGACTTTAATGTTTAATAGACAAGTGTCTTTGCGCGATTGGTGGAAATGTAGATTAAAATGACTATTTTTCTATAAGTCCATTCATTAATTGCTTTTAAATTATTTTCTTCACACAGTGAAGCTCATAAAAATTAAACATTTTTTTATAGTTAGTTCAGGATGAAGATATTTTCTGTCGGGATTATGGTCCCTAGTATAATGGGATTCAAATTTCGGGAAACTGTTAATATGGTTTTGAACAGTCACATTTGCTTCATCACATATTTTTCTCGACGATCCAGACAAACGCCCACGTAAATCATTGCCAACTTTTTTAGATTTTAATACATGTTTCAATCGTCCTTCGCTTATTTGAATTGAAAATTATTTAAAAAGAATTTTTTTACAAGCAGCAACTTTGCCTGTTTTGGAATTTAACCAATACGCAAACTCTCATTTCTAAATTAACATTTTCCGTTTCTCTGACGTCTAATTCTTAGAACACTGCGTCCGGTCCCTTCGTACAGCAATATATTTTGCTTATTAAAGTCTCCTAAGTTCCGAAACATTAAATTTTTCAAGCAGTCATTTTGAAAAACTTTGGCAGGAATAATTTTTCCCGATTATGTATCGTATCTTTTCTCTGAATTTCGTTTAATTTTACGAATTTTCTGAATATAAGTACCACTTCTGTGTTCTCTGAATCCTTCTTTGAGGGTGCTGTTTTGCAAATTCTCATTCTCAATTGCTTCCTCTTCCACTGTTGAAGAAATATTAAATATTATTTTTTAAATTCCAATTTAAGATCAAAACGTAATTTAAATGACCTCCATCACTGCTTTCAACATTTTGTTCCGCACTTTTGGACATCGTCAATAAAAAGTGGATATTTCAATACCGACTTGACAAAAGTTGAAAATGCAATTGTAAGATTCTAAAAAATATTCATCTGTATTCTTACGATGTACCTTTATCGACCGCGAATATAATCTATAGACTTAAAAAAGACTGTTGTTGTTTACAAATCGAAGAACTATGTAGAAGACACAAAAATACAAGAAGAAGAATGTTGTTAGTCGACAGGCATATAAGACCAAAATGATTATTTTCACACCTACCTGTAAGATAAAGTACGAGTACTTACCCTTACCCTTTGAACTATCCAGTGAAAACAGCCTCGCAGGGTCAAATCTCGAGAATCAGGTATGGTCTGTTCATAGATATAAGAAAGTGCCAAATGAATTTGAATGGGATTATCCAAGGTCATTAACATACAATGCAACACGATTATTACCTATAGTTTCGGTTTTTAAATTCAGGTAAAATTGTGGTCCGTAATAGAAAATAATTTTATACCTACCTGTGTTTAATATTCTTTGGTTTGGGATACTACTTAGTTTAAGTTTATTGGTAATCATTCTTATCTCGTGTGACAAATATGTGCGAGTCTAGTGTATCTCAGGAGATGCTCCCGCCCAAATGTAGAAAACACTATTTTTGAGACTAAAGAAGTCATAAACAATGTTTATTTGACTCTCATTGAACGTGGTGCCAGCAAGCAAGCGTCTTTAGAAGAAACGGCCCCATTGACGAACATTCCAACATCAACTGTATGGAAAATTGTGAATAATCCCATTTCAGCGAGGAAAAAAAGAAGCGATGCTGACATTTTCTCGAGTGTAGATGAAAGTGATCAAGATATAATACGGCGTAAAATTTACCATTTATACGAGGAACAAAGCGTGCCTACATTAGATATTTTAATTAGAGCCTTGAAAAAGATGAAACCGGTGTTAAATGTGGCAGAACTACCTTATGGAAGTGTATTCAACACATGGGTTTTAGATTTTAAAAAATTGACAAAAGGCAAGTTTTAATGGAATCTTTTAGAATTCGGAAATGGCGACTGGAATATCTAGAAAAAATTAGGATTTACAGAGAACAAAAAAGGCCAATTATTTACTTGGATAAAACCTGGCTCGACACTTATGATCCCCGGAAAAGGGTTGGACTTTCTCTGTCTGCGAAAAATATTAAAGATTCTTCTCTGGATTACCATGAAGACACCACCGCTGATTTATTTGAAAGTTGGTTTAAAAACAAACTAGTTCCAAA